TAACCCAACCTAAACTTTCACTTTCAACTGTACATTTTTTTTATTACATTTTTAACCCAACATTTGGGTTTGTCCATATTTGACCCAAATCTGGATTGAAACAACCCAGAATTTTTTAGAGTGTAGCTAGCCTATTCAACTATGTATTTTGATCTACTTGAACAACACAAATGGGGTCTGGTTAAAGAAATACTAATTGTATAAGCACCAACACATCCTTTAATCTATAGAGGCTTTAAGGAACAGCTTTGCCAAATCACCTGGTAGCTGTACAGTTTCTGGAAGTATACAAGAGAGTCTCACAAACACCACAAGTTAAACACAGATGTTTTGCAGTAAGCAAACATTTTTTGAAGCCTGAATGCCCATGGCCTCAAAGTGTAAATCTCTGTGTGTGTGAGTGTGTTTAAAAGTAACAGCAGCAGTGAAAGAAGTTATAATAGAGGCAGAATACAAATCAAGGACCCTGTGCAATGTTTAGCATTTTTTACAGTTGCATTCAGACTGCCTTATTAACACAACAATAAAAACCAAACAACCCAACTATTCCACAATACCTTCAGGGTGAAACAGTAGAAAACATGTGAAGCCAAGTACTTTCTCAGGACATTATCTGCAAAGACCTTTCTAAGTTATGAGGAAACAACTGAGAAAATAAGAAACTTGCCTTTCTCCCTGATTACTCTGTAACCATGATGAAGGTTATAAATTCTGAGCAAGCCCAAAAAATAATAATAAACAGAAAGTGCATGCTTCAATGATGACACAAATATTTACAGATTTCTGCCCCTTATTTACCCCCTAATACAATTTCTGAAAGATATAATAATGAGGCTACAACAAATGTCTTTGTTCAGACTATTCACTGTGACACAACAAGACTGAACAATTACTGAACAAAACACAAAATATTACTGTGCATAAAATTCTATAAAAAACCTTCCACTATCAGTCGATCGCTAAAAGAAGATATCTCGGAAGCCACATCTCACTTCCTGTTGCGAGAACATGACATGTCATGCACCCAACGAAAGATGGACATACTAATAGACTGAAAGAACGAAAGTAACAAATAGAAACTTAAATGCAAAACTACAATTAACAGATGCAGAAATTGACACACAATTAAAAAAATAATAGAATTTCCTGTACGTCATAATAACGTTATATATTTCAATGTATTGAAAAATGTGCCAGCGAGGAGGATAAAAAAAAAAAGTAATCTTCAATCTTTTCTTTTTTTCAAGTATCTGATCACTGCATTATCTTCCTCAGGTAAAATGGCTTAATGTCTATGAGCCATTGCTGATAAAGTCACAAAAAGCATACTGACGTCAAAGCTTTCTAGACTATAGTGTGAAAGTGTTGATTGTCAACACTTGTCAGATGGCATAAAGCTTTTACACTGCTTACATTTTTTAACTATTATTGAAGATCACTGTTTTAGGCTAGCACGTGGGCTTAAGTACAAAAACCAGTTCTTTTGTCTATACTGAAATAATCTGACTCATGTACCATATATCACACTGAAAGAACCGTCACTGTTACGTTGTATTAACTGGTCGTGCATAAGCCTTTATGAAGTTAAACATACATGAGCTGTGTGTTAATATGTTACCACAATATTGTTTGTTTTTCTTTTCTCTTGGTTTTAGTTTTCCAATATAGCCTGAAGTTGGGGCCAATTTGGAAGGACTGCACCAATATGTGCCACCAGTAAAGATGCTGTGAATATTCATTAAAAAAAGCACTAATTGCAAGAATAGCATTACATGTATTCACCAATATCTGTTCCTTCTCATCTGAAATACTTACACACTGTTAAATGGATCATAGTTGATCTGTGGGATCCATACGGACCAGGCCCCAAGGTTCGGCACTAGTGTGATTATTGGATTAATTGCAAAGTTCAACTATTATAAAGTGAAAATGAATCATTTTCACTTGTTTTGTCTTGCCAATTTACACATTCAAGCAAGTTTAAACCATTCCAGCACAAGAGGTGGTGAAAGGAACTCTACAGTTCTCCAACAGCACATTGATTTATCTACTGCATGTTCTTGTGCTTTAACGGGGACACACACAAAATGAAATATACAAAAAGTACTAACACAATTAATAAAGGGATAGTCCACCCAAAAACAACGGTGAGTAAATAATTTATCATTTTCATGTCGTTTCAAACTTTCTACATGTGTGACTTTCTATAATGAGAACCAAACTACACTGGAGCCCATTGACATTTCTCAAAATATCTTTTATGTTCCACAGATGAAAGAAAGTCAAGGGTTGGAACAACACGATACACAAAAATGAAATCCCTTTAAAGAAATGGTTGAAGAACTAGAATCATTCAAAGAATCAAAGCAGAATCATTAAAGGGTTAGTTCACCCAAAAATGACAATTCTGTTCCAACCTCGTAAAACCTTCGTTCATCTTCAGAACACATATTAAGATATTTTTGATGAAATCTGAGACCTGGATCACTCCTGTCCATAGGCTTCTTGAGGGATTGAAACTTGCCAGTCTCGAAAAGTTATTAAAGACATCGTTAAAATAGTATAAGTGACTACAGTGGCTCAATCTTAACTTTATCAAGTGACGAGAACACTTTTTGTGCGCAAAAACAAACAAAAATAATGACTTTATTTCAACTATTCACTTCCTTCTCTATGGACCTCTAGTCCGTTAACGTAGAGTGATAGTGTAGAGCTACGTCACATGTAGGCTCACTATTGGCCAACGCTGGTCATGTGTGTGATGCGTGTGACGTACAATAACAGAAGCTTACGCTATTAAACTAGCAACCTGACTCAAGGCAGAGAGAGAAGTAAATGAATAGTTATAAAAAAAAGTCGTTATTTTTGCTCACAAAAAGTGTTCTCGTCATTTGATAAAGTTAAGATTGAGCCACTGTAGTCACTTATACTATTTTAAGGATGTCTTTAATAACTTTCGAGGCCGGAAAGTTTCAATCCCTCAAGAAGTCTATGGACTAGTATGCAGGAGTGATCCAGCTCTCAGATTTCATCAAAAATATCTTAATTTGTGTTCCGAAGATGAACGAGGGTGAGCTAATCCTTTGGGTGAACTAATCCTTTAAATTTATTACAATTCCCTAAATGTTTAGTTAGCCTAGAAACCAGATTAGATGAAGTTCTTTCTCATTTACACAAACTAAACGATATCAGTTGAAACAACTGAAAACATACCAGCAAACACAAACATTATTTTGCTCGGAATAAAACTGAAAAATAATGTTCTCTCACCCAAACGCCTAAAAGGGAGCGCTGCTGAATCGACTGATACTATCAGATACAAATCAATCTTGCAAGCTTTTTATACCCAAATCCTCTGGACTTAAACGCCCTGCGAGACTAAACAGTGAAGCAGCCATTGAAGAGATTCAACACTCATTGTTTCATGAGACAGACATTCCTTGTCCAATTAGAATTCCTTTCATGGGCCCAGGGGGGAGAGCAGCACAGCTGGAGGCGCTGGGTTTGTCTGCAGCCCCAAAGCTCTCCACCTCTGCTGTGGACATCTCTTCCACAAACAAACTCTCAAGTGGTCACAGAGGAGATGTTGTGAGGCACAAACACATCTGCGTAAAATAAAGAGCAGCTCATTCAGAGCTATCTTGTTTGTGCGGGAACAATGCCTTCATATGGTGTCATCATCGCCTCCATCAAAGTAGCTCATTGTATGTTTGATGTCAAAATAGTTCTGTCAGATAAAAATGGGGTCATGTGCGATGAAAAACTTTGTCAAACTAAAATTCGAATGTTCTCACGTTTAAATGACAACATGCAGATGTAGGCTAATCCACTTGTTCTCGTGGCATACGTCAAATGGAAAAAGCAGTAACACTGCTTACCACATTAAGAAGAATACATAAAGTATGTATTAATCGTAGATAAATGTTGATTTCATTTCAGCATTTAATAATACACCATTAAAATCTAAATCCATATCTGTTGATATTTTATAATGGACTTGAGCTAACATTAACCGATTGGAATTTGTTAAATAACATGAAGCAATACTGATAAACAATACAGTAACAATTGCATAAACTAATGGGACAGTATTGTAAAGTGTGTCCAAAGATATAAAAAAAGAAAAATATGAGTATCCTCTATCCTTGTCCCTGCTGAGTCTATAATGTGATAGAAAGTACACAGCCATGTACTTTTGCAGTCATACAAATCTTTCTGTTCCAGACACTTTAAAAGACACTGATATGTCAACAGTTGATTTGGTTTACAGAGGCAATTGTAAATCCAATCCTTCAGGGCACTGCCACTATGTGTGTGATGATATCATAGAGATCAGTATGCATCAATCATATCCTGTTCATTTCCAAGCAAGGAGTGATTTCAAAAGAGTAGGAGGAAAAAATCCTTCCCAAAAAAAACCTATTAGTGGATTGTGAAACGGTAGGCTATACAAGCATATAAAGATCAGGCACTGTAACCCTTTGTTAACTTGGTTCAGTTTGCAAATATAATAAGCAAGACACAACACAAAATATTAACGAACAGTCTGCCACACATGATGGTCAATCTTAATATATAACGGACGCAGACATCCAGATGAGGGGAACCGAGAAAACAGCTGCCTCTGCTTCCTTCATCCGGTTAATACTCAGCTGATTTATGACTAATCCAGCCTAACAAACCATCCACGGGGAGCTGCTTTCGGCTGATAACGTTCACATAAGTGGAAATAAAGCATGTCCACGGACGATTGTGCTGTTTATAGAGATGTAGATGAAATAAAGAACTGCTTATCGTCTTAGCATGCGTTTAGCATGAAGTGCCAGACTGCTGCAACTCGCCCCAGCAGAAGCTAGCAGGATAGTCGGTCGTTTAGCCTTCCACACACACATGAGCGACAAACACACAGCGATAATAACCTAACTAGAAATATGAAATGATCATTAACTCCGTAAAGATGAAATGAAAACAATAAAGGAGCTTATTTGTAGTCGGTTTACCTGTCAGTCGGATTTTGATGCTTGACCCGTTCCTTCGAGTCCCAGGATTCGACATCACTCCCACAAAATAACCGACGAACTTTCTCTCAGGATAAACCCAAGACGCCGGCTTCGAGCGGATATAAAAACGTATAAAAACGCGCTACGCTAATATGTGGGTTGTGCATGTGTTTCTAGGCGATAAAACGGTATTATTTCCGTCTGGCAAATCCCCTGTAGCTTTCAGACTTAACAACACAGGCTAACATTTTTTTGAGCTCAACGGCGTTCTGACATCACGTTAGTACAGCGGAACGTGCACGTACTCGCGCTTGGGCGTGCGCGCGCGCTTTTCCTTCTGGCTCTGGCAGTAGGCTACATTGTGGGATGTGAAAGGATATTAGTCTTGTTCGTTTTGATGTTGTCCAAAGCGGAATTACTTCATTAAAAAAAAATACGTTTGTTGATATCATTCATTAATACAATTAAGTTTGTAGTTATTTATATATTTTAATAGATAGATAGATAGATAGATAGATAGATAGATAGATAGATAGATAGATAGATAGATAGATAGATAGATAGATAGATAGATAGATAGATAGATAGATAGATAGATAGATAGATAGATAGATAGATAGATAGATAGATAGATAGAGAGAAAGAGAGAGAGACAGAGAGAGAGAGAGAGAGAGAAAGAGAGAGATGTTGTTGTTGTCGCTTGTAATAAATAGGCTAATCAGATGGTGGTTTACATTAAATTTGCATGATTCCTATTGTTGCTTGATAGCTGTCATGTGGTAGCAAATAAGGTTGGTCTGAGCAGTTGGGGAAAGGACAGGATTCGAGGACTTTAGCAACTGGAAACAATAGAGCCATTTAATAGTGTTGTGCAGAAGAAAAGCCAATCCACACATAAACAGCAGGCTAATGAGGGAGGCAGGCCACACACAGGCCCTTTTCAATCCGTCACCACTTTAATGAGAAGAAAGGCATTGTGCTCTTGGCATTAAAATGAAATGTATTTGATCTTAAGACTCTTTAAAATGGAAACAAATACTAATGCAATTAATCGGTTCTTTGTGTGGAATGCAGTGTGGTTTAATGATGCACAATTAAATAAAAGGAAACATTCCAATGTATTGATCAATTCTTTAGTCCGTCATGTAATTATGGCTTGAGACATTGGAGCTCATCTGCTCATGCAGATATATTGATCCTAATATTGCTCATTTTGAAAATCCAATGTACTGTAATATGGGCCAATTAAAACTAAGATATTGATTAACAACTCTCTTAGAAAAGGTTCAATGGGTTAATATAGAAGCAAAAATTGTGATTCAACTGTAAAGAATTAACCCTTCATGAAAAAAAATATTGTTGGTTTAACTTAAAAAAGTAAGTAACCTGGTTGCCTTAAAATTTTTAAGTTGATGGAACTGGAAAAAGTGAGTTAATACAATGAAGGAGATTAATTTAATCATTAGAAACTCAAAATAGTAAGTTATCTCAACTAAATAAATTATTTAAGTTGATTTGACAAAAGAAAAAAATGTTACGATTAACTTGAAAATATTTTTTTACAGGCGGTTTATTTAAAATTTTACTCAGTAAAAGATTATATGAAAATTTATGACAATGTTTTACATTGCTTTAACTCATAAAAATAAGTTAAGCAATTTCCAACAAGATACAACTAATTTTTTAAGTCAGCTTGTCAGCGATTTTTTAAGTCAGTGACTTTTTTTTACAGTGTAGTAAAGTATGTTTACAAGATGCTTAAGTAGTAATATTTTCTTTTATATTTACATAAAATATAATAACATTATACAATATTTTATTAAATGAATGAATTAAAACTACATCCATAAAATTATCTCGGGAACCCCTAAAATGTTCTACCTGCAATAACCCTTTAAGGTTCAATAACTTAACCCTAAAACCGTATTCTGGACAAATGTGGGCAAAATAGTTTTGATTTATTTTTAAAAAATACTTCCCTTGACCTGAGCGGTACAAAACTTGGCTACTTTTCCTAAGTTTGCCTCCTGAACAAACACAATTTTTTTTACTCAATTCTACAATGTTAAAAAAACTCCTTAATCTTGTATTTGGGTCAAAAATGGGCACCCATAGAAATGAATGGGAAAAACTGTAATTTAGAGCATTCTAAAATAAGCCAAAATAAGACACCAGGTGACAGCAAAGTCACTTCATCTTTAGGTTTTAGCTCTAAGAACTTATTGGAATGATATTTTAATATAGTTTAAAAAAATAAAACATAAAAATAAGCATAATTTACATAGAAAATATGGTACTTTTTTAAGTAAATAAATTCAAAAATACACCCAAAATGAAAAAAAAAAACATCATAAATGGATAGAAAATTTTTATCGAAGACAGTGATATAACATTTATAACAAATAAAAATTAGGATCACACCTGAGTCTCCACCTGTGCCCACATTTGTCCAGGATTAAGGGCTATAAATTGAATACGGTCTGAGGGCTACGTGTTTATATATGGTTTGCCCCTTTTAACATATTTGTTGCATCAAAGGTAATAATAATAATGACAATTAGTTAATTTGAGTAAAAATGTATTCATTGCTTGCTTTGGATTTTAGAGAGTGGTAACACAGGCTTATAATTAAATGCCAGACATGAGCTGAGAACAGCAACAGCCATCGAGAAAGTCTAACACCATTCACAATCACAACAAATTACATGTTTTAGAATGTGGTACATATGCTGGAAACTACCCCAAATATAAAATATGAACAGATGGAGTAGAAACCCTTTTGGCCTAATTTTCTCAATATATTGAGATGTTGATGTAGCTCACTCCTGCCATCTCTTGGTCGTAACATGTGAGAAATGCAGGATTTGATTGTTTGCCAACTGAAACAGCCAGAGCCTCTAAAACTAAAAGAAAAGAAAAAATCTGCTAACTGACTGAACAATTGATGAAGTGAGAAGGAATTGAATGAAAGTGTGTGACTGAATAAATTCACATGAGGTTTCCCCTCGGCATTGTGAGTGGAGGGTGCAAATATCAAAGTGACAAAGAATTCTTTAAGTGGGAATGAAATATGCTAATAAAAAGTAGGCTATTAGAATATTACATATACAGTGGAAATTGGAAAGCAAATTGGCTGCTGGACTCTCTGTTGTCATAGTGACCAATTAGCATTCGAGAGTCAAAAAATACCTTTTTATACCTTTAGAATTTTCTGTCTATTTTATGTGAGTGGATAATATGTTATGCAAATGAAAACTAACAGACTCAAAAAAAAAATTATTATACAAAAATATACTGAAAATTTGTTCACCTTTCATTAAATGACTCTTCAATGCAGTTTGCATTTACAGCTAGAAATGTTGCTTCAGTCCTCCAAAATTGTCAAATGGTTCTGCTAATTGGGGATTTTATAGGCATATGCATACTATTTGTATATTTTTTATATACCTTAATATTAAAGGGGAATTAATGTACTATAAAAATATGATAAATATGAAAAAAACTGTTAACCAATCACACTTTACATTACAAATGGAGTGTTTGAAAGATATAGGGTCAAAAACAGGATAGAAAACAGCTTATTACTTCTAAGATGTTTTTTTAATATATAAAACTATTGCTAAAATTATAAGTGGGCTTCAAAGACTTCTTGTTCTAGTTCTTGACCGCTTTTAGAAGGCAAATATATATATATATATATATATATATATATATGTGTGTGTGTGTGTGTGTGTGTGTACGTGTGTGTGTGTGTGTAAAATGTAAAATTTTTTCAAGTCAGTTGGGCAACACATCCACTTTTTTAATCAATAGAATGTATTATTTTTTTTTACTGAAAACAAGAAAAAAATTTGCAAATGAGTGTAAGAAAAATAAACTTAGCACAATTTTAGCTATAGGTTAAGACATTTGGACTAAAATTGAGATTTTTTCATTTTTTAGGTGTTAAGAATGCAGTGCATGCGTGGTCTCAAAAATGAACGAAAGCAGATAAATACCTCTAAAACAGCCATTGTGTATTAGAAACAATACCACTGCTCTGTGCGGAGAACAGTGATGAGCTTTAAAATATCACATATTCCTCGTAGAGAAATTGGTGCCAGCAAGACCGAGAACACCAAAAAGGTCTTGCCAGCAAATGCAGGAAAGCCATCTTCAGATTTCAAGGAAAGCAAATGGTTGTGATGTCCTCTGTGGAACATCACACCCTCTTCTAATAGGCCAAGACTTTAGACTGAACCATATCCTTCTCCCTGTTCTAAAAGCCAATACCAAAACCACCAGGAACAACGTCTCTTTTCCATCACGTCCTGAAACAACATGTAAATATTGCAAGTGCAGTTTCTAGGCAGTTCTTCTGAATCACAATGTCAGATTTATTCTAGGAGAATTTTAAGTCAATCCACTGCTAAGCTTATGAAAACTTTGAGAGCTATGAGTTGACTGATTATTGCCGTACACTTATTTAGCACCTCAAAACTGCTCTGCAAATCTGGCAACTTCCTAAAGCCAAAAGAATGGAACAAATGTCCCATTTTGAGCTGGTGCATTATCCCGGAAAATATACTGTATATATATATGTTGCTGCTAGATTGTCAAAGAAAAAGAAGGTCCCATGTTGATTACACATCCCAGGTGGGACACAGCATTGCAGGATGGCTGTGCAAAAACAAAGATCCACTGAATGAAACAGTGGTGGGCCTGTTGCAGTCATCCTTGCCTCTTTTGGCTCAGCCCTTCAAAGCAGAGGAAGCTGCACGGGGCAAAAAAAAACAAAACAAAAAACGGCTCTTTCTTCGAGACTGCTTTCTATAGGAACTAGTGTCCTATATGTATAACAATATGCATGAACATTCCCCCAAAACATGCACTTGTTTAAGATCTATTCTTTGGCTCTCCCAGCAGGAGAAGTGAATGATGACCACACTGCAGTATGACAAATGAACAATCAGACCAATTACATCCATGTTTTGTGTTTTATTCTTTTACTTTTTTGTGCATTTTATTCATAGTCATATTTAATCATATTTTATTAATTATTTCTACTTTTTTATTGATTACATGATTAATGATATTCGCAAAATGGCAATTGTTCATAATTCATTGAATCTCCCTTCTCCTAATTGTATATTTTAAAATTGAGAGGAATATTAAGCAGCACAGATTGTTGTTATTTCAGTGTGTTTTGGCTTCAGTATTTCAGTGTTTGGGTGTTTGAGATGCATTCTTAATTCTGCACCTGGCAGCTGGCATGGAACGGCATCCTAAAGGG